CAACGTCGCAATTTTTCGCATTCGTTCGAAGAGCTAACGGGAAAGCTTCAAAAGTCCCAATTTTTTTTTTTTAGCAACTCCCTTGGCTATCATGTCGACAGCCAAGGGAGCCGTGTGCAGATCCCTCATCTCCAAGGTGGTTCCCAACGACGAGCTCGGTGAGTCCCACTCTCTGTTTTAAGCTTCAACTCGCTTAACTTTCTTAACTTTAACGCTTCTCATTGAGAACACGAGCCGACGGGCCATCTGGATTTTCTTCCATTCCGACTGCTGTTACAATGACTGAAAATTCTATTAAGCTTTTTTTTTATTAATAGAAAGGTCGTGATGATAGGTAGATCTAGTCACTAGGCAGACGGTTTTCATGACCAATGGGCATTGAAAAGGGCAACCATGAATGACAGAGACTGCTGGGGGTACGTTCTTCAGCCTGTAATTTCGCACTCCGAGCTTCAGCTTGAGAAACAGGTCAACGAGACTTTGTTTTTGCTTAACAGAGGTTGAACATGGTGGCCCAATAAACAAAAGTCGTGAATGCACTACAGGACGATATGAAAACATTTTCACGCCTTGCGCTCGAGGCGTTCAGCAAGAACGAGTCGACGAAACCATTTATCGTCTCATCGGGCCACCGTGTGCATACGACGACTGTTGGTTGCAGTGCGAATTGGGGCGACACGCGATAGAGACGCTGCACTTGGGTATCGTCCGGGATCGACGCAATCTCTTAACGGCGCGATGCATTGGGGTTTCGCCTCCTCCAAAATAAGACTCGTAGGATGAGAGCATGCAGGGAAATGGCAAGAGAGAATGGCAAAATGAACGAACCGATAACGGAAAAATCTAGCGAGATCTCGGGGGGGATGTAACAGTGAAGACCCTTATCATACAAAGTTTCGAGGTATAAATGGCATTCAAACTCATTTATTCGCGCATTCACACGATCCTCAATTAGTGTTCGGCTACTCCCCCCCCTACCCCCTAACCCCCTCGAATGAGACGAATTGGACCTACATTCACAGGAAAGATCTTCGCGATGATCGCCTCAGCCGAGGCCCTGGTCCCCATCGTGGCCAGCGTCGTCTACAGCAGACTCTACTCGGCCACGCTGAACGCGTTCATCGGGAGCTTCTACCTCCTCTCGTCTTCCCTGCTCTTCCTCGTCGGGGCCATGTATCTGTGAGTTTCTCCTCCAATTCAGACGAAATCTCAGAATTTTTTTAAAAATTATTTTAAAAATTAGAATGTTGTTATTATATTTTTTATCTTCTTAATTTTTCATTTAATTTTTTTTTTAAACTGTTTTCTCGCTGAATTTTCTTTTTCCATCTGCAGGTACGTGTTCCACCTGACTCGGAAGCACGACTTGTTCTCGACGGAAGCGAAGGTCTGATCGCTCTGCGCCCTCGGAATCCGGAACGAAGCCCATCTTTTCAATCTTCTGTGATGATTGGTGGATTAAATTTTTTTTCTAAACGAAACCGTGGAATCTCTGGAAAAACGGTGATCGATAAGACTTATTTGACAGCAAGAAAGCGCGATGCACGAAGTTGGCATGAAAACGGTCGTTCTTTGGCAATTTAGTGGAAAATGTTCTGAGTTTCCAGGATATTTTTGGTACGTGAAAGAACTACGGAGCTCGAGACGGGAAGTCTCGTGCCGCATCGTAGCTTTTCGCTTGGTGGTTTTCATTCACTAGACATGAGGAAATCGAGGCGACAAATTTGCGAAATCTGACAGCAATCATTTCGAAAAAACTCGCATTCATCTGTATATTTACTTTCGCGAAGGAACAAGTTGAGGACAGCAGCAACGGAAATAAGTCGATGGAAAAGGTAAAACAGCAAAAAAAAACACACCCCAGCGGCTCGTCGGCAGACTCCAAGTCACCCAATCGTCACCAAATACCAACACAACTCACTTGGAGCCAGTGTGAGTCATCGGCTCGGAACGGGTGTCGACCGCGAAAAGCAACCACCTCGTTGACCTCCACGTCCTCTCAACCAGATGGGTGGCATGCACCGCCAGCCATTCGTGCGACCGCGTCCTTCGTAAGCATGCGAAGAGTCAAACGGAGAATAGGTTCATCAGATTGTCCGTAGGTAGAGATCGGGTTATTTCCTCTCATCTGGATGACGTGATTTGGTTTCTCAAATGCATTGCCATATGCATTGGCATGTTCATAAGGCACACATTTCACATCTTGAGCCTCGAGAAGCCCCGACATGCGATTTAACGAAGGGGGAAAACGAGCCAATGGCCAGAGCGAAGTTGTGACGTCATCAGCGCTCGGCAATCGAGCGATCTCTCGACCGAGAAGTAGAACTGGGTTCGGTGGGCACTAAAAATGCGATTCTAGAATTTAAAAGCCATCTTTGTCGATATTACGATGGTTCCATTCATTCGATGGGGTTTTCCACATGTTTCTCTGCTTTCTTGGAGGTGCAAAGCGGGTTTCACCATTTTTCAGATAAGATCATGGGCTCTAAGATGTCTGAAGAGGAATTAATTCCACTCGTGTGGATTCCCGATTTCCGATCAGATTGCAACTTCCAGGACTGCCTTTCTCGTGATCGCTGGGTCTATCATGGGATGAGGGTTCAGTATTTTCGGGAGACTGGGGCTCCAAGATTGGGCTCCTGGATGTCTAAGACTTACAGGCCGACGGATATAAAGAATAACCTCGGTCATGCCCATGCCGGCTCGCCCTTCACTTCGACTTGCAAGAACGGAAAAAAAAATACAAGGAATTTATCTAGCCACTGGGGTGCTCGAAGGACCGACCACGCTCGTGGCGCCACGGCGGCCTTCCATCGCAAGAAAGCCGGGAGATATAAAACCTCTGTCGGAGTGAACGTCGAAGAACTGTCGGGACGCCATCCACTCCTCCTCCTCTGCCATCCACTCCTCCTCCTCCGCCATCCACTCCTCCTCCTCCGCCATCCACTCCTCTTCCTCTGCCATCCACTCCTCTTCCTCTGCCATCCACTCCTCCTCCTCTGCCATCCATTCCTCCTCCTCTGCCATCCATTCCTCCTCCTCTGCCATCCACTCCTCCTCCTCCGCCATCCACTCCTCTTCCTCCGCCATCCACTCCTCCTCCTCTGCCATCCACTCCTCCTCCTCCGCCATCCACTCCTGCGTGCGATGCCCTCGCTCGTGCCTGCTCCTGCGCCGAAGCCAGTTCTATTTCTTAGCTCGGCGGGGGCGGCAGAGGACGGGGAGGACGGGACATCCTCACATCCTTCGCTAAGAGGATCAGTTCCGCGTCTCTCGCCCGGTCAATTTCTAGGCGTGTTTCTTCTTCTCCGGCCTTACGTCCGCACTTATTTTTCTTTAGACATAAAAAGGAGTGTATACACACTAATTGATCGGTTTTCGTATTCTAGCCTAGGCCTAACGTAGGGCTAGGTTTAACCTCATTTGAAAAGCGATTGCGACGCCGTTTCCGAATTGAATTCGTACCCTCTATTGAAGCAGTTTCATCGATTGCAGGTAGTGACATCTAGGGGGGTGCTACGAACTAAATCCGGAAACATTGCATATGACGCTGTGTCTTGATGTTATTTGAGGTAGAAAGAAATCGTCGGGAATATTTTAGGCCTACCGCAGACAGCCGAAACGATTTGTTCTGGCCCGAGCCCAGGTCTCATTTTCTGGTTCACTCGAAAGAAAAAAAAAAAAAGGAACTGAATTCGCCAAGTCTGTCGCTTGTGGGCACTGTGTAAATATGAAGACTGAAGTTAGTTCATAAAAAAAGATTTGAGGATATGATTCCGATATGGAAAATGAGGAATGCGCGTTTGGATACGAAGGCATCATCTCTCCGTATGGATTTTGCAATTATCATTATGGCAAAAGGTTAGTTGTTATCAGCAGGAATAAAGTAATAGGTGAAGATAAAGTCCGTCATTGTCGAAAAAGACTTGCACGACTAAACATGTAAGTTGGACGAATTTGTTCCATCCTTGAAATTAAGCTGATTAAGCGGTATCTCCTAAGCTGTAACTTAGCTAAGCATTACTCCAATGAAGCCCGTGATGAGGTCACGTGACTCCGAAGTTCCGGCTTCCTCCGCAGCGTCGCTCGTTTCCCCCGCGTCTGATTTCATCACTTTACCACGTGGGAACATCGGCCCTTTCGATGAGTCGACGGCCAAAAGCATGAAATTGGGATTTCGCGGTCTACTGGTTCGTATCTGACTGCATTCGTCAGTCCTTGTGCAAATATTTAGCGTGACTTCTATGCTGCTGATCCTAGCATTAACCATTAAAGTCGACTCCACCTCATCCCACTTAAAATAGATATATGTAAATAAACATTACCTTCAGTATTAAGATCAGATACAAGCAACAAAATTGTCTTTACGATCATCGAAGACCCTTGATGATCATCGAAGACCTTTTATGATCATCGAAGACCCCTTATGATCATCGAAGACCCTTGATGATCACCGAAGAACCTTTGAAAGGGGCATTTCCGACGCCCCACCTCGATCGCGTTGCTTCCCGATTCCATGAACTCGTCTCGCCAATGAAGTGCCATGGTGGGATTGGAGGCCAGCCAGGAAGTCTTTCAGTCAGATCGGCGAGAAACGCGTTCTTTCCTTTGCATTACTTCGTCGCAGGGGGGAAAAGGGGGAAAAGGGGGAAAAGGGGGAAAAGGGGGAAAGGGGGGAAAAGGGGGAAAAGGGGGAAAAGGGGGAAAAAGGCGTCCCTGAAGACAGCGAGGTTTTTAGTCTGGTTAAACGCGGATTTCGATGAAAATCACGCTGAACAAAATCTGAATGAGGAAGCAAAAACGATGAGCGCAAAAGAAAAGAAGACGTGAAACTGCATCTTTCATTCATGCAAATACTTTTGCTTAGCTTCGAATGAAATTCTGAGAGAAGGAAACGAGGGGAAGATGCTGGAATCGGGCGAGCCGAACGGGGATGACCGCTGACTGGAATCGATAGCAGTTCGTGACCATGGACAGTAAAAATATGAACTGCGATTGGGATGCCGTGAACCCTGGGATCGCGAGGGTGAACCCTGGGATCGCGAGGGTGAACCCTGGGATCGCGAGGGTGAGCGAGTCGGTGCACCGTGGTCTTTCTTTTCTCGATTTCATTCCCGAACGCACGGAAGCAGGGGGATTCTCATCCGAGCCCAAATACGAACCCTTCACGTGAGTTCCCCTTGCCCCCCCCACCCCCAC